TTTAAAAGTTTTAGATTTACAGAAAGAGAGTTCCCATACACAATTTTGCCTATCATTAACTTAGTATGCTACATTCATTACGATTAACCAATACTGATGTATTGACTAAGGTCCATAGTTTATTTGCATTTCCTTCGTTTTACCCTAAAGCTCTTTTTCTGTTCCAGGATCCCATCCAGGATACCACATCGCATTTAGTTAAGTCTCCTTAGGCTCCTCTTGGCTATGAGCTGCTCACTTTCCTTGTTTTTGATGATCTTGATAGTTTTGAGGAGTACTGGTTAGGTATGTTGGGGGACTTGCCTCTATTGGAATTTTTCTCCTGATTGGGGAGCGGTGGGGGATGGAGAAGATGGGAGGGGATGGGTTTTGGGGAGGAAGATCACAGAGGTCCAGTGTCATTTCATCATGGCATATCCAGAGTAAATTATGTTTGGCTGTTGATGTCAACCTTGATTACCTGGATGAAGCAGTGTTTTGTCTGGTTTCAACACTGTAAAGTTGCTCTTTTGTCCCCTGCTTTCCATACTCTTTGGAAGGAAGTTACTATGTGAAGCACAGACTTACTGAGTAAGGAGTTATGTTTCCCCTCCTTTAGGGTGGAGTATCTACATAGTTTATTTGGAGCTTTTTGGAAAAAGCCTGTCCATTTTTCAACATCATTCCAAGGGCCCACTTAGAGGAAAATTAGGGGAGAAATTGTCCCAGACTCATTTGCTTTGTATTTGGATTGACTTCTTCAAGCCCCGATTTTTTTTCCTCGATCACAAAGGCAAAAACTTTTGGAGACTTCTTTATCTTTAGGATAGACTCCTAGTAGTAGAATAATCATTAAATGGTGCACACATTTTTTATTAGCTTTTTATTTGAAGAAATTTCAAATATAATCAGTTGTAAGAATACTGCAGTGACCTTTTTTTTTTTTTGGAGACAGGATCTCACTCTGTTGCCCGGGCTATAGTGCAGTGGCCTCATCACAGCTTACTGCAATCTCAAACTCCTGGACTCAAGGTAATTCTCCAGCCTCAGCCTCAGCCTCCTGAGTAGCTGGGACTATTGGCACACACCACTACATCTAACTTATTTTTCTATTTTTTGCAGAGACAGGGTCTCACTATGTTGCTGGGCTGGTCCTGAACTCCTGGCCTCAAGCAATCCCCCCACCTTGGTCTCCCAAAGTGCTAGGATTACAAGTGTGAACCACACCCAGCCTACTTTAGCACTTTCCATTCATACATGCATATATACTACTCATGACTTAAGATCTAAGGTTGTACATTGATCAAATATAGGAAATTTAATGTTGGTACTATTATTTAATATATAGTTCATATTCAAATTTTGCCATATATCCCATTAATGTCCTTTGTAACAAATGAAAAAAATTTTTTTTAACTTTTCTGTTCCTTAGATTCAGTAGGAACATAATTTTTTTTTTTTCCTGATCCAGGATCAAATCCAGCATCACTTACTGCATTAGTGATCAAATCTTTGTAGTCTCCTTTAATATGGAAGAGTTCCACAGACTTTGTCTTACCTGATGGTAACATTTTTTTGAAGAGTACAGGCCAGTTGTACAAAGTCCCTCAGTTTGGTCTTATTTGACAGTTTCTTCAAAATTAGATTCAGGTTATGCATTACGGCAGGAGTACTACATGTGTGATATTGTGATCACATCAAAAGGTACATGATGTGCGTTTGTCCTTTTAATGGGAATGTTACACATCAATATATTTTTTA